GTCATTTAAGGCACATGATGGGCAGGCTATCTGGTCCCAGCTGTGTTATAAAATCCACATGCAAACTCTGGCAAACAACCCGGCCTAAACATGAATTAATCTTCAGCTACCACGGGGCCTTCAACAAAACTAGAAATACAGTACCAAATTCTCCACTGGATTTTTTACAGATGGTCAGTGCGGGAGTAAAATACTACCAGTGTTATGCATGAGTGGAGATCTTTTTGTCCCACATTCCACAGGTGTGAATGACTCTATATGGGTGGTAGACTGTGAAGAACCACAGCAGCAAGACATAATTTTTTATGTATTAGACCTTCCAGCCAACCTAACCACCCACTACACACCCACTAAGTGGAAAAGTGTTCTGCTTGAAAATAAAGCACTGGGGAAAAAAAAAAACAACAACAAAAACAAACAACACAGTATTTGTTCTGGAGCAGTTTCAAATGTACGATTTGGATGGCAAAGTAAGCACGTTATATGCTTACCATTAACTAACCAATTAAAAACTAAATTGCAAATCACTGAAGAACTAAAAATGCACTCCCAAAAATCAACAACACACTATTTGTTCTGGAGCAGTTTCAAAGGTACAATTTGGATGGCAAAGTAAGCACATTATATGCTTACCATTAACTAACCAATTAAAAACTAAATTGCAAATCAGTGAAGAACTAAAAATGCACCCCCAAAAATCAAGAACAAAAAAATATATCAAATCTAGATTTTTATTTCTGCACATCAGATGATGAGATACTCCTGCAAACAATACAGTAAAATAGCACAGAATCTTTGTAGTTGCATGACAGCTTCTTTTATTTGTATGTGAAGCATGATGCCATTCAAGGGTGAGTCACTCTTATGATTAGTTCCTCACTAAGCAACATGACAAACTGTTCTCCCAGGGGCACTGATTTAAAGCGCATTTTCCAAATTTCAGGATTATCAGAGACTAAAGAAACCTGGATTTTCTGAGCAGGAGTCAGCAGAAATAGGCCACGGGTATCATACTAATTTAAAGACAGGGCAAAAAAAAACAGTAATGATTCACCAGAGAAAGCCTGTTAGTCATAAATTCTCTCTGCATTTTGCCTTTTGCTGACATGACCAGGTTTAAAGATGAGTATGAGGAAACCAAAAACACCATGTCCAAAATCTTACACACTTTGCTCCCTGTGACCCTCTGGTATGTGGCATTCTTTCAGAAACGAAAGGTCACAGCTAGATTTTGGAGCAGAAATTTGACCTTCAGCTTTAAGGATGACCACAGAAAGGGCTGTCATAGAAAAATAAGACAGAAAATAAGACAGAAAACTCAAGTTATCTTCACCCATTCATCCAGCATGATTCCTGTGTACTGGGGGACTGCTCCCCACACAAGCCACAGCCCAGCATAGCAGTTTCTATTCATTAATCCCTGAAGCTGTACACTGACTTACAGTTATTAGTGCAAGTTGGTGTGCTGGCGTGTTTAAATGTTCACGCTTGGAAAAGCCTTCCTATGAGGCCACCACATGTTCCTACGTGTCTGTCAAACAGGAGGTGCAACATCACTGGGCCTAGAATCTATCCTTCAATTTAAGAAAGGGTATAAAGGGTTTCATGGAAAAACTGCAGTGTTATAAAACCAGACCTGTCATATAAAGGAATATGTGCCCTTCCTTTCTTTTCTGTTCCTTCCTCTTCCAGCCAAATGACCAATGTTACTAAATATAATCTTTTCTTCCCACATGGAAAGTGCTAAACACTCACCATATTGTGATTTTTTTCTGAAAACTCTGCTTCCCAAAGTCATGAGGTTCTGCAGCACTCTTTGGGTTTCTTTTAATGCATTTACTAAGACAATCAAGACTACAAGGGGAGGAGGAAGAGGGAATAAAACAGAAGTGACTCCTAAACACCAGGAGACAAAAAAGTTCTCAATATATTAAAGACTTGTGATTTTTGAGACAGTTTTGGTGTTGGGATGTTCCTACAGGCCTTCTGGAGGTGAAGGGTGGGGAGATGATCACTGATTGGTTCCTTCTACTATCTTCATTGTCTGCCAAACCTTGAATGAAGCACTGGTAACCTTTCTCCAGATGTGAGACTATTAAAAAAAAAATCTTCCTTCTTTTCTAAGAACCTGGTCATCCTATTGGCAACATAATTTCCCTACCTTCAGACGCATTCAGTTTATGGTCCAATAAAACATCTTCTAAGCTCATTTAACACCCTCTAAAGCTAATTTAATCTTGTAGCTGAAAGCCAACAAATGACAGGTGCTCATCCATTTTGAGTGCCAAGTTATTTCACGTGAAAAAAATTGCTTAATTTCTGGAAGATTACCATAGTTTTACCCAGCTATCAAACACGTAACAACAAAACCCCCAAAGCTGCAAAACTAAATACATTAAGGAAACATAAAGAAGACATAAGTCGCGTCTAAGTAGGTCTTAAAAACATGAGAGAACCTTTGTATTGTGCCAAAGGGGACAAGCAAAATAAACAGCTTTTTGCCTAAGCACGGCAAGACCCCCACGCATTGTTTAATTATTACCTCTTTCGTGCCTTTCCTCAACAAGCAGATATGGCTTTCTAGCTACCTCTGAAACATTCATTTCGTATTCCCAGGGGGGGCACTGAATTCCTCCCAAGATAGGAACATCTTACAGCATTCTGAAAGCTGCATGGAGCTCAACATAGTAAGAGAGAATAGAGGCTTCCTGGTCCACTCTCTATTCTGAATCAGTTTATTAATAGAGCTGTATGTGTGAGATACTAGTAAAGTATTGCAACTTTCGTTGTTTGACGATTATTTGTTTGTTTGGTGTCCTGGGTTCAGAAGTAGCATTCATTTTTTCTCCTTTTTAGTTTCTGCTTCAGCGCTGTGTTTTTGACTTTCGGCCTGGGAACAGCACTGATAACACCTATGTTTTTAGTTACTGCTCAAATGTTTAGTCTGGCCAAGCACATTCTGAGTCTCATGCTTTGCCAGGGAGGAGAGGAAGCCAGGAGGAAGCAGAGACAGGACACCTGACTCAAACTAGCCAAAGAGGTATCCCATACCACAGCACGTCATGGCCAGGGTGTAATTGAGAGTTACCCGGAAGAGCTAGTCCACTGCGTGGTCGGGCTGGGTATCAACGGGTGGTATTGTATTCTCTTCCCTTGTTATTTCCCTTATCATTATTATTACTGGTGGTAGGAGCAGTGGTTTGTGTTATACCTTAGTTACTGGGCTGTTCTGATCTCAGCCCATGGGAGTTAACATTATTTAGATTCTCCTCCCTGTCCCTCCGGGAGCGGGGAGGGGGGGGAGAAAGGGGGGGAGTGAGGGAGCAGGCTGTGTGGGTTACTGACTGCACTTAAACCATGACAGTTCATTTTGGCACCCAAGGTGGGGCTGGAAAGGTTGAGATAACGACAGATCTGACTGGAGTGTGTCTAATCATATTTGTGATAAGCATTCATTGTTTCAGATTAATAGTCACTTGTCACAATGCTGATTTATTGGCTCTCAAAGTTGTTATTCCTGATCTCACAGTTTCAGTATGTCATACCTTACTTCCATCTGGTATTTGCTGTGTGTTTATCAGGTGGGGGGCTTGGGCTAAGGTTCTTGTCTCATTGTACTTCATGGTAATGACTTGTAATACAATAGAATCATTGATTATGAAACTGATCTGGCTTATGATCCGAGTGTAGTCACCACCTTTATACTTTGGGAGGTATATAATAGAAGTGCTTAGCAATTACACATCTTTTTTCTCCTTCTCGGGTGGTCAACCTGTGAAGGAGACGTTCTGTTACCCTCCCCACCCTACCCCTCCCAGACCGTTTACAGCGTCTGATCAGGAGTCATCATCACATGACGAAGAAGAAGCAGAGGTAACTTCTTGACCTCGGACCTCAACCAAGCTACAGAATATGCAAAAAGATTTTACCCGTCAACCAGGGGAGCACATCATCACCTGGTTGCTCCGATGCTGGGACAATGGGGCTGACGGTCACAAACTAGAAGGTACAGAAGCCAAGCAGCTGGGATCACTTGCTAGAGAAGGGGGAATTGACAAAGCAATTGCAAGAGAGAAAAAGTCCGTCAGCCTCTGGAGCAGCTCTTGGCGGCTGTGAAAGAAAGGTTTCCATACAAGGATGATGTCATGATTCGTTTGGCCAAGTGGACTACTTTAGAGAAAGGCATCCAGTCTCTGAGGGACTCAGACATTGTAGAAATGATCTGTCACATCAAGCTGAATAATGGGGATATACCCATAGACCCAGATGAAGTCGAATGTACACGACCCATGTGGCGAAAACTTACATGGAATGCACCGTCATCATATGCCCATTCATTGGCAACAGTAACCTGGAATGACATAGTACCACTAACAGCGGATGAAATGGTTCATAAACTCCGAGAGTTCGAAGACAATCTCACCCCCTCCATCATCTCAGTTGTGGAAAAACTGTCCCAGGACCTCAGACAATTGAGGGACGATCTATCTGATCTATCCAGCTCCTCACGTGTACCAACACACGTCTCAGCTGTTAACAAAAGGCATCCTATTGTTCAAGAGAGAAGATACAGAAGGTATACATCATGGGCTGCTCTGTGGTTTTACCTGAGGGATCATGGAGAAGGCATGACGAAGTGTGATGGAAAACCTACTTCAGCTTTGGAGGAACGGGTACGTGAATTGAAGAGGAGAACAAAGGGCAAGGATGATCATCCCACAAAAGCTGCAGCTTCAGTCTCTGGTGAGCAGGTTCCCCGATGGAGTGGAAGAGCTGATTTTACTCCAGCTCCTATGATAAAGAAGAACAATCCCTTTCTACAAGACCTAAGTGTCCAACATTGAGATGACTATTAGAGGGGCCCTGCCTCCAGCCAGGTGGAGGTAGGGAACAATCGGATTTACTGGACTGCGTGGATCAGGTGGCCTGGCACATCAGTCCCACAGAAGTATAAGGCTCTATAAGTGCACAGTGTACCCTGATGCCATCAAGCTGTCAAGGGGTGGAACCCATCTATATTTCTGGAGTGACAGGAGGATCCCAAGAGTTGACTGTGCTGGAGGCTGAAATCAGCCTGACTGGGAGGGAATGGCAAAAGCACCCCATTGTGACTGGTCCAGAGGATCCATGCATCCTCACCATAGACTACCTCAGGAGAGGGTACTTCAAAGACCCGAAAGGGTACCAATGGGCTTTTGGTATTGCTGCTTTGGAGACTGAGGAAATTGAGCAGCTGTCCACCTTGCCTGGCCTCTCAGAGGATCCTTCTGTTGTGGAGTTGCTGAAGGTCAAAGAACAACAAATGCCAATCACGACCACAACAGTGCACCAGTGGCAATATCTCACCAACCGGGACTCCCTGATTCCCATCCATCAGCTGATCCGTAGACTGGAGAGTCAGGGAGTGATCAGCAGGACCCACTCGCCCTTCAATAGCCCCATATGGCCAGTGCGAAAGTCTAATGGAGAATGGAGACTAACAGTAGACTATCGTGGCCTGAATGAAGTCACACCACCATTGAGTGCTGCCGTACTGGACATGCTAGAACTTCAGTATGAACTAGAGTCAAAGGCAGCCAAGTGGTATGCCACAATTGATATTGCCAATGCATTTTTCTCAATTCCTTTGGCAGCAGAGTGCAGGCCACAGTTTGCTTTTACTTGGAGGGGGCGTCCAGTACACGTGGAACCGACTGCCCCAGGGGTGGAAACACAGCCCTACCATCTGCTATGGACTGATCCAGACTGCACTGGAACAGGGGCAAGCTCCAAAACACCTGCAATACATTGATGACATTATTGTGTGGGGCGATACAGCGGAAGAAGTCTTTGAGAAAGGGAGGAAAATAATCCAAATCCTGCTGAAAGCCGGTTTTGCCATAAAACGGAGTAAGGTCAAGGGACCTGCACAGGAGATTCAATTTTTGGGAATAAAATGGCAAGATGGACGTCACCAGATCTCCACAGATATGATCAACAAGATAACAGCAATGTCTCCACCAACTAATAAGGAAGAAACACAAGCTTTCTTGGGTGCTGTGGGGTTCTGGAGAATGAACATCCTAAATTACAGTTCGATTGTAAGCCCTATCATGTGACCCAGAAGAAGAATGATTTTAAATGGGGCCCTGAACAACAACAAGCCTTTGAGCAAATTAAACGTGAGATAGTTCATGCAGTAGCCCTTGGACCAGTCCGCACCGGACCAGATGTAAAAAATGTGCTATACACTGCGGCTGGGGAGAACGGTCCTACCTGGAGCCTCTGGCAGAAAGCTCCAGGGGAGACTCGAGGTCGACCCCTCGGCTTTTGGAGTCGGGGATATAAAGGATCTGAGGCCAGCTATACCCCAACTGAGAAAGAGATACTGGCAGCCTATGAAAGGGTTCGAGCTGCTTCAGAAGTGATTGGCACTGAAGCACAGCTCCTCCTGGCACCCCGGTTGCCCGTGCTGGGCTGGATGTTCAAAGGCAGGGTCTCCTCCACACATCATGCAATCAATGCTACATGGAGTAAGTGGGCTGCACTAATTATGCAATGAGCTTGAGTAGGAATTCCCAGTTGTCCAGGCATTCTAGAAGTCATCATGGACTGGCCAGAGGGCAAAGATTTTGGAATGTCACCAGAGGAGAAGGTGATGCATGCTGAAGAGGCCCCACCATATAATAAACTGTCAGAAAGTGAAAAACAGTATGCCTTGTTTACTGATGGGTCCTGTCCTATTGTGGGAAAGCATCAGAGATGGAAGGCTGCTGTATGGAGTCCTCAACAACAAGTTGCAGCAATTGCTGAAGGAGAGGGTGAATCGAGTCGGTTTGCCGAGGTGAAAGCCATCCAGCTGGCCCTGGACATTGCTGAACGAGAAAAGTGGCCAGTACTTTGTCTCTATACTGACTCATGGATGGTGGCAAATGCCCTGTGGGGGTGGTTGCAGCAAGAGAAGCAGACCAACTGACAACGCAGAGGTAAACCCATCTGGGCTGCTGCAATGTGGCAAGATATCGCTGCCTGGGTGCAAACTTGGTGGTGAAGGTATGCCATGTAGATGCCCATGTACCCAAGAGTCGGGCCACTGAGGAACACCAGAACAACCAACAAGTGGATAAAGCGGCTAAGATTGAAGTGGCTCAGATGGACTTAGATTGGCAACATAAAGGTGAATTATTTTTGGCCTGGTGGGCCCATGACACTTCAGGCCATCAGGGCAGAGATGCAACATACAGATGGGCTCATGATCGAGGGGTGGCCTTAACAATGGACACTATTGCCCAGGTTATTCATGAGTGTGAAACATGTGCTGCAATTAAACAAGCCAAACGGTTAAAGCCTCTTTGGTATGGAGGACGATGGCTGAAGTATAAATATGGGGAGGCCTGGCAGCTTGATTATATCACACTGCCACCAACCTGCCAAGGCAAGTGCCATGTGCTTACCATGGTGGAAGCAGCCACTGGGTGGCTGGAAACATACGCTGTGCCCCATGCCACTGCCCGGAACACTATCCTGGGCCTTGAGAAACAGATTTTGTGGCGACACGGCACCCCAGAGAGAATTGAGTCAGACAATGGGACTCATTTCCGGAATAACCTTATAGATATTTGGGCCAAAAAGCATGGCATTGAGTGGGTACATCACAACACCTACCATGCACCAGCCCCTGGGAAAACTGAACCGTACAATGGGCTGTTAAAACTACACCGAGAGCAATGGGTGGTGGAACTTTCAAGCATTGGGATACACACTTACCAAAGGCCACCTGGTTGGTCAACACCAGAGGATCTGCCAACAGGGCCGGCCCAGCCCAGTCAGAACTGTTACATATTGTAGAGGGGGACAAAGTTCCCATGGTGCATATGGAGAATTTGCTGGGGAAGACAGTCTGGGTTATTCCTGCTTCAGGTAAAGGCAAACCCACTCGTGGGATTGCTTTTGCTCAGGGAACTGGATATACTTGGTGGGTAATGTGGGAAGATAGGGAAGTCTGATGTATACCTCAAGGGGATTTGATTTTAGGGGAAAACAGCCAGTGAACTCAATTGTATGCTGTTGCCTGCTATGTAATATTTTTATAGCCCACCAACTAGATGTCTTCAGATCACCAGTGACTGGCCCCGACTTCCCTCCGACCATTATCCCAACAGAGAATGAACTTTGATAGAACCAGATGAGTTCTGTGGTAAAGGAACGATCAGCATCAGCAGGCAATGATCCAACACTGCACACAGCCTCTCCTGCCCCAAAAGACTGTTACATGAGATGGAACCCAACATCACGGACCCAATGGACTCAGCAGCTTCATAGGGATTGGTCCATGCATTAAGGAATGATCTGTGTGTGTGCGTGTGTGTGTGTGTACGTGTATATATATATATATATATAAAAGAGCGATGGTATACTGAAAACGTGGGATCTGAGCATGACGTGAATGGTGTGGAATAAGGGGTGGATACTGTCCTGAGTTCAGCAGTAGCAGTCACTTTTTTCTTCTTAGCTGCTGCTTCAGTGCTGTGTTTTTGACTTTCGGCCTGGGAACAGCACTGATTTCTAGTTACTGCTCAAATGTTTAGCCTGACCAAGGACTTTCTGAGTCTCATGCTTTGCCAGGGAGGAGGGGAAGCCAGGAGGAAGCAGAGACAGGACACCTGACCCAAACTAGCCAAAGAGGTATCCCATACCACAGCACGTCATGGCCAGGGTGTAATTGAGAGTTACCCGGAAGAGCTAGTTCACTGCTCGGTCGAGCTGGGTATTGCCAGGTGGTATTGTACTCTTTTCCCTTGTTATTTCCCTTATCATTATTATTACTGGTGGTAGGAGCAGTGGTTTGTGTTATACCTTAGTTACTGCTAGGCTGTTCTTATCTCAGCCCGTGGGAGTTACATTCTTTCAATTCCCCCCCCCCCCCCCCCCCGGTCCCTCCGGGAGTGGGAGGGAGGAGGTGGGGGGAGAAAGGGGAGAGTGAGCTGCATGGGTTATTGGCTGTACTTAAACCACGACATTTGGTTTTGTTTGATTGCTGTTGAGGGGAGGGCTACTGAGTGGGAGGGGCATTTGAGGGGTTTTTTATTTGGTTTTTGGTCAGTTGTTTTATGGGGTTTTGTTTTGTTGGTTGTTTGGGGATTTTTTGGGCAGGGTGTTTTTGGTTGGTTAGTTGCTGGTTTTTTTGCTCTTTTCCAAGATGTTAAGGTCAGAGTTTATTCCTGGAGTTTATTCCTGGATTACTTCTAGAATTCCTTTATCTAGAATAGATCTCCCCACAACCAGCCTGCCAAAACCAGGACAGTAGATCTGCCTCGATCCAGAAGTGTAAAGTCACTTGGAACTCCTTTATGGGTGAAAGGTGTTGCTAAAATAAACATAGATTTCAGCTTTCTATTTAAAAATTAAGTCTTCTAGCACTGTGAGTCTGAAAGTATTATGTGAGTGCATCATGTTCAGGCTAAGAACCCAAGTGAAAATACACCCAAATGCATTAACACCCCATTCCCTTCCTCCCTTCAGAATGCAATTTAGGATACCTGCTAGCCAATCTGGTTGGGCAGAAAAAGAGAGAAAACATTATGTCTAGCTCAGTAGTCTTATGATGTTTGGGTTGGTAATATGAGTGTCATGGGGCCATAAGGTGCAGAAAACAGTACTGAAGACTCCCTTGTTCATGGAGTGAACATGCCTGCAGAGTGAACATGCCTGCACATACCTGCATAGATGTCAGTACTTGTGTTCTTTCATTGTCTGACTTTAATTAGATTACTGCCTAACAAAAGAAGTAGCAGAAGAGGACATTACCACCTAATCCCAAATCCAGACTTCCGTGAGGCTTGAAAACATGAAAATTACATTTCTGTCCTATATCGTGAAAGTGTGACTGAAAACATAAATCTGATCTCTTTTCCACGGTCCTGTGATGAGGTGAGCTACATGTTAAGTAGAGCTGAGACACTGTGGGATGGTATTTGAAGATGCATATAAAATTTTACCTGTATGATTTGAAAACTGAACAGAGTTCACCGTATCAACTTCAAATCCCAAAACCTGTAACAGAACACAGGAATATTTTTTTTAATAACACATTTGTTAATACATCACCAAAATCACAAAAACACAAGAAAGGATTCTTATTTCACAGTGCAGATTTAGAAATCTTAAGTGTTGGTTTAAAATGAAAGCTGAGTCAACGTACAAAAGCCGTAGTGAGGAATAATGTAGGTACCCAGACTGAGCCTTCCTGCAGACATGCGACTGTGCAGGTCTCTGGCTGCAGCAAATGCCTCAGCCCGGCACTTGTACTGGAGAGAGCCAGTGACACTGCTTGTGTGCGGTGTGAGTGAATAAATGATCTGCTCAGGCAGGTGGCTGAACTGAGGGAGGACATAGAAAGGCTGAGAGCCATCAGAGAATGTGAAAGTGAAATAGAGTGGTGGAGCCACACCCTAAGGCAAGGGAAGTGGTTGAACAAGTGATGGATCCCCTTCCCTCCTACCATCAGATAGAAGGAGTGAACTTAAGGGACAAGGAGATATGGAGGGAGGTCCCTCCTCGGAGAGGTAAGTGAAAACCCTTGCATTCCCTTTCTCTCTCCCAGTTGCCCTTGAGTAACAGGTATGAGGTCTTGGAACTACAGGGCCAGGTAAATGGAGATGGAGGGGTAAATCTATCTAGTGAGTCACCTAGGGCTTGTCACTCACCCCCATGCCTTAGAACTTCCTCAAACAAGAAGAAAAGAAGAGTAATTGTGGTGGGTGACTCCCTTCTGAGGGGAACAGAATGGCCCATTTGTCGACCTGATCCATCCCACAGGGAAGTCTGCTGCCTACCTGGGGCTCAGATTAGAGATGTTAAAAGGAAACTCTCTAATCTGGTGCAGCCCTCTGACTACTATCTGCTGCTGGTTTTTCAGGTGGCAGTGATGAAATTATTACAAGGAGGGCAAGGGCAATGAAGAGAGACTTCAGAGCCCTGGGACAGCTGGTTAGAGGGTCTGGAGAGCAAGTGGTGTTTGCCTCCATACCTGTTACAAGCAGGGTGAAGAGATAAATAGGAAGAGACTGCAGATCAATGTATGGCTATGGGACTGGTGCCAAAGGCAGGGGTTTGGGTTTTTCAATCATGGGCTGCTATATGAGACACCTGGTTTGCTGGTGGCAGGTGGGATATACCAGTCCCAGAGGGGGAAAAGGTTTTTTGGG